CTGTGCTTATTGTTTTTTCCTGTTCTAAAACACCTTCTTAGAGGATACCAAAATTTCACCAACACACAATTGTGACTAAGCATGTGAATGAAATCTTTTTAGTTTTAGGAAAAAGAATCAAATTAATCCTAAAAGGAAGAGAGATGCTGACTCCAAGAGTACTAAGATTAAGGAAACCAAGAGGGACATCCCTCTGGTTCTTTTCAATTTGATGCCATTCATGAAATCTTTTATTCATTTTATTTTTTTAAATGTTTATTTTTGAGAGAGAGAGAGAGAGAGAGAGAGAGAGAGAGAGAGAGAGAGAGAAAGAGAGTGAGTGGGAGAGCAACAGAGAGAGTGGGAGACACAGAATCTGAAATAGGCTCCAGGCTCTGAGCTGTCAGCCCAGAGCCTGATGTGGGGCTCTAACCCACAAACCATGAGATCATGACCTGAGCCAAAGTTGGATGCTTAACCAACTGAGCCACCCAGGCGCCCCATGAAATCTCTTCTTAAACTGAGTTCATATTCATAAAAAAAAAAAAAAAAAAAAATTATAATGGAGAAATTTATTTTTTCTTTCTCATGTCTTTATAGGGAGGCAGGGTTCATAAACCAAATATTAGAAGACTGGCAATGTTTTAATGCAATAGGCATAATCAACAATATAGTTCTTGAATAACTAGCACACTTTAGCCTCTAGCACCTTGTATACCAATGAGTCTATACAAAACCAACTGATGAAAACTGTGGTCTGAGCTAATACAGGTCAAATGAAGTATTAGAATAACAGAGTGAAGCCAACAGGTCTGGATCCTGATCATTTAAATGAAACGAAAGAAGAGCAGGCAGTAATTGGTCGATCAACCTTTGTATCACCATATTATCCCTAGAGAAGGCTTTAACACAGGCCTGAAAGATGCTCAGTGTCCTCATGTAAGGCATAAAATGTTCTTCCCAAACTACAGACTTCTTTATAAACTAAAATGATATCCTTGAAACTATCTAGATCAGATATAAGACAGTTGCTCACTAGTTAATATCCCAGCTTAGATTTTCTATTAATCATTGTCTCAAAATATGATTATGAAAAAAAACATAAGAAGATCATAAATTAAATGGGTTCTTTTTCATTTAATAATCACAGAGGATGTTAAGACCGCAGATCAATTTGCTTCTAAAATGATTTAATGGCACAAAAACCGACACATAGACCAATGGAATAGAATAGAAACCCCAGAACTAGACCCACAAACGTATGGCCAACTCATCTTTGACAAAGCAGGAAAGAACATCCAATGGAAAAAAGACAGTCTCTTTAACAAATGGTGCTGGGAGAACTGGACAGCAACATGCAGAAGGTTGAAACTAGACCACTTTCTCACACCATTCACAAAAATAAACT